CCCCCCCCCGCCCCGCCCCGCCCACCGGGACGCGCTGCCTGGTGTCTCACCTGCTCCGCCTGCCCCCGCTCATCTCGCTCTTTCCCCTGCCGCCGCTTCTCCTTCCTCTGGGGCTTCTCGCGCTTCTTCTCCACGACAGTGGCGCCGCGTCTCTCCGGGGACTTGGAAGTCTCAGCATCCCTGTGCTTCTGGACAGGCAGCTTCTCACTGTCGGCTAGGGGCCTGGGGGTGGTCACAGGAGGCGTGGCCTGTGACAAGGCCGCTCCCCCTCTGTGCAGTGAACAGAGGACGGAGGGCGGAACCGGGCCATGGGGAGCCCAGGCCACGTCCAGCACCACGGGGCAGCCGCCCAGGTCTCAGTCCCAGCACTCACTTGTCCAAGTCGATGTCCAGGGCCCTGTAGGGGTCGTTGGGGTCTTTGTCGTCCTCGTCGCTGGGCAGGGCGTTCTGAGGGGGAAGAGGAGCCCTGCGTCCATCCAGATCAACCCGTCCGGCCTGCGGCCCCGCCGAGCCTTGCGGGTCCCCAGGGCCCCCATCTCCCTGCTCAGAAACGGGCCACCAGGTGCACACCCACGAGGGAGTCTGATCTGGGGCCTGGCGCTTGGCGCGGGCAGCAAACTCAGCACAGGTAATGGGCCAGGAGTGCAGGGGCCGCCTGCTCATGGTACACAGGGCAGAGCTGGCTGAGGCTGCCCCGTGCCACGGAGGCAGCAGCGATGGGCAGGCCCACGCGAGGGTGGAGCCCACCTCAGGGAAGGGCGCCCGCGCGACACGCAGGCCCGCGGCTGACCTCGGGCATCTCCTCGGTGACGATGTCCACACGCTGCGCGGGGGTGGCGTCGCCGTCGCTGTCCGTGTGCAGCGCCGTGTGGCGCCGGGCCCCCCGCCTCTCCCGCGCCCTCTTCTTGCTCCTTCTCTTGTCCTCCAGCCTCTGCCGGTGCCGCCGCGCTGCCTCCGGCTTCACGTACTGGCCTGACACGGGCATCCCTGCCGACAGGCGCACGTGCGGCGCTCAGCCCAGAGCCGTGGCCTCGCCCCACCCGGCCAGCACCCTGCCGCCACCTGGTTCACCCACAGCCCCGAGACCCACGCCCGGGGGAAGGGGATGCTGGGCAATGCCCTCTGGCTACCGAGACGCAGACGGGCGCCCCCGGGCGGCGAGGGGGGTGGGGCTGAACCTGGGGGCCGTGGCGTGCACCCGTGCCCGCTGGGCTGAGGATGTAGCACGGGGTGCAGGGCAGGCCCGAGGCGGTGCCTGCACCTGGCCTGAGGTCCCCGTCACCCGTGCCACCGGGCACACACTTGCCTGGCACCTTCAAGGGCACCGAGAGGTCAATCTGCACCACGGGAATGTGGTCCACACCTGGCGCGTCCTGGTACCGCTGCAGAGGAGACACTGAGGCCCCGTCACTGGGCAGGGCGGCGGGCCCAGGGTGATGCGCCGACGCCCCAGAGCAAGGAGTCACAAAGACGGGGGTGGGCTGCCAGTGGGGAGGAGTACAGGACGGGGTGCAAGACCTCCATTTTTTGCACCTGAATCTTTTTTCTTTCCAAGTCGGAAAAACAGTGCAGGCTTGGAACCGTGGTGACATAGTGCTTCCCGCCCCTAGGACGGCTGGAATCAGCAAGCCCGACACACGGGTGCCAGCGGGGGACAGTCTGCAGCCCCTCAGAGGGGTGACCCAGAAATCCCAGGATCAGGGAAACCGCACAGCACCCGCCCCACGGAGCCACATGTCCCCAGGGGAGCCCAACATGGATGACAGGTCTGTAGGGTGGAGGGTACAGCTGAAGGAGGTCGCTCCAGGCAGGACCCCAGGTCCCCTTGCGGCCCCTCCCCTCCTACCAAGGCAAAGGAGCCTGACCTCGCCCACGCGGGACTCACTCCCCAGGTGTTGGTGTCGAGAGCCCCTCGCGGTCCTGCCCGTGGACCTGCTGACAGCCCCGCACAGGCCGTGGACAGAGAGCGGATGGGCCCCATGGGAGCGTGTCTCAAGGACGAGCAGGCCAGCCTCACCTTTTGGGGGGACGGGGAACTCTTGATGTAGAATGGGTTGTTGGCCTGCTCCTGCTTCCGGGCCTCGCGGCGCTGAGGGGACAGGATGCAGCGCACACGTCAGCGGGTACGCGGAGCCCTCACCCTCGCATGCTCCCAGGTGGGGGCCACCTCCACGCGCCAGACCCAGGGGGGGCCGGGACCCCTCGCCACTTTCATTGTTGGCCTTTGACCACCAGGAGACGGAGGCCGGCGGTGGGAAAGAGCCGATGGGAGACAGGCAGGCGGCAGGAGGGACAGCCCAGGAGCTGCACAGGCGGGGGTCGGAGAGACCGCGTGCTCCGGGGTAGGGCCTGGGGTGGGGGGCAGGCTGGGCGAGGAAGGCCAGCGGGGAAGCGGGGGACGCAGCACGCCTTGCTTCTCCATTCTGCACGACACCCGGAGGCCCCGCACCCACGAGCGCAGGCAGCAGGTAGGCGCAGCATGCCGGGCACCCCAGGGCCTGAGCATGCTCGGGCCCCACAGTCTCCCCAGGGAGCTCCTGGCTCAAGAGGCCACTCCTGGTCTCAACGAGAACCCCCACCCAAAGTCGAAGGCGGGCTCAGCGCTGCCCACCGGACAGTGGACCCAAGCCCAGACCTGACCATGCGTGGCCCCGGCCCGCCCCGCCTCACCCGGGCCAGTTCCTGCTCGTCCGCCTCGGGCGGCCGCTGCTTGGCATGCCGTGGCTCCTCGTCGTGGAAGATGGCCTTGGGCTTCTCATCCTCAGACTCACTGTCCGAGAGCGGCTCATTGATCCAGGCGTCCAGGTCCAGGCTGCAGGACACAGTAAGATCACACGGTGGCTCTGGCCTGCATGCCTGGCCCTGGGCGCTGCCGTCCCCTTGGAGACAAGGATATGAAGGCTGGGCAGTGGCCCGAGGTCACAACGGGCAAGGCAGACCAGGGACCCTGGGGCCTGGGCAGCCCCCCCGCCCCACGTTCTCACGCTGCCCGCAAGGTTTGTGGGCGACAACTACCAGCCAACCTGCTTCCCCACCAGGGCTGGGGACAGCAGGGCCCCAGGAGAACTAGTGAGTGCCGTGCCTACGGTGTGTGTGAGAAGGGTCTGTCCCGCCCACAGGTGACTGGGGCCTCAGGGGACCTTCCTCCCAGCCCCCTCCACCTCGCCCGTTTGGACAGCAGGTCCGGGCTGTGGTTCTGCTCCCACGGGCCCTCATGCCACCCTGCGCCTGTGTCCTCTGACGGACCGCACGGCTCACCCTTCGGGGACCGGAACCTTCTTCTGTGCCTTGGGAGCCACGGGGTTCAGCTCCCCAGCAAAGAGGGCACTCACTTCTTCTGCCACCGGCACATCCCTGGCCTGAAGCTTCTGGACGTGTTTGACCAGCTGCAAGATGCAGGATGCCTGGGGGGCCGTGGGTGAATCAGGAAAGAGTTACGGTGGCCTGGCCTTGAAGGCCACTCAGCCCCCGCAGGGCACTGCTCAAGCCGTGCAGACGCCCAGCCGGACCCCTGCTGAGGACTTGCAGAACACACCGCGAGGAACCGCTGACCGGGCCAGCCAGGAGGCCAGCCCGGCTGCTGTCTCCTTCACGAGGACACAAAAGGGCTCCCAGATGAGACAAGGGGTTGGGGGTGGACTGAGCACCGCCCCACAAGGCAACCGCCCCAACGAGCAGCGGCGCCAGCCCAAGAGTGCAGCTGACCCTCAGCCAGCAGACAGGTGCACGTCACACACCCGCCCATGACCGCAGAGGCCACCGGGGCCCGCTGAGCGCCAGTGCGGGGTCTGGGCAGCTGAGAGCCCCACGTCACCACAGAGCCAAGGGGAGGGCTCCTAGGCCACCGATGCCCAGACGCCATGACAGGCTCTCCCCCACCCTCCCGGCCAGTGCCCTCCAGGGCCGTGGCCACCTCTGAGGCCTCCCTCTCGGGCTCACCACATACCCTCACGCTGCCTCCCGTTCGTTCACAGTCTCCCACCCCCCGACCCAGGGCCTCCCCAGCACGGTGGCTCCAGATCTGCCCACCCCCCCAGGCCGAGCGCGGGGGAACCAGGAAAAGAACACCTGCCCAAGCTGCTCTCCCGGAGCTGACCCGACCCCCTGAGGACGTGCCGACGCACGGCGCTCACCCGCTCCTGGGCTTCCAGGTCCGCGCTCTGCACAAACTGGGGCAGCCGCTCCACTAGGAGCTGCGTGACCTCCTGGGCCGCCTGTGCGTCCGCGGCCTGCTCTTTCTGCTGCAGGATGGCTGCGTACAGCTTGACTACGTTTTGCACATACACGGCTTGGATGTGACCCGGCAGGGTGGTGACTTTGGGCCGCAGCATGGCCTCCAGGGTCTGCTGGGGCTCCTGTAGGTGCCTGAGGACAGGGAGGGCCGGTGAGCAGCCGCCCCAGTGGGTCTGTGCACCAGGGCTGGCGCCAGCCCTGCAAGCCTCCACCCAATGCCAGGTGCTGAGGGAGGGGGATGTGAAGGAAGAAACCACAGCAATGGCACGACAGTCACAGGGCAGCCACGCAAAGCAGTCGAGAAAAAGGAGAGGAAAGCTATCAACGGCCTGAATTTGGCAACGGACGACCTGTGGCTGCAGCAGTGAGGAGGGGAGGAAGGCTGGGCCAGCGGCTGGTGGGCCTCTCACCGCTCCCCGTGACGGGAGACGTTCGCCGCGAGAGCAGCTGTTGCCCAATGAGGGCGAGAGAGAGGAGGTGGGCGGGTGGGCGGGGCGGCTGCTGGGGCTGGGGTCTGGCGGGCACACCCGCTTCCCCTGGGGAGCATGAGGCCCCTGGCCCCCACTCACTCGGAGAACTCCCCGCAGATCCAGGCGGCTGCGTAGAGCACCTCGCAGATGCTGCTGCGCTGGGTGCTGCTGGCCACCAGGTGGGCACTGTCAAGCAGCGCGGACATCTGCGACACGGCAAACCGGCGGATGGCCTTCACGCGGATGGCCACATCCAGCATCTGGGCGGCGATGAGGTGGCCGTGGCGGGTGCCCTCCAGTCGGGTCAGCTCCACCAGGATGCTGATGTACCTGCGGGACAGAACCCGTGAGGGCAGCGCCCCCGCCTGCCCGCCCACCCGCCTGCACGCTGGGCTGCGGGCCGCACCACTCGAAGTTGGTGATGTGCTGGTAGTTGGACTGGCTGCAGATGTCAATGATCTTGGTGAGCAGCTCGTCGCGGTAGGTCGTGCCCTCGGCCTTGTCCACGTGGGTCATCAGCTTCTTGACGATCTCCATCAGGTTCTTCTTGGACACCTGGGGGGGGGGGGGGGGTTTTTCCGTAATATATTTAGGAAAAAAAGAAAAC